GCACCCCGTGCCGTGTGTTTGCGTGGCACTGCTTTGCTCCTGCAGTGGAAGGAGAGGAAGAGCAGTCCTCACATCATCCGTGGGACTCGCAGGGATATCTGTTACAATTCATTAAGTAGTGCTCTAAGAAGTTACAATAATAACATTTCAACAGTTTCCAGAGGGAGTCTCAGAAACTACAGGAAAAGCTGACAAGTTTCAATCCATTTATCAAAGCACTCCAAGACAGATGAAACAGCAGAGCTGCTTAGTGAAGAATGTCTTTCTTTCTGGGTGTCCAGAGCATTACAGTAAATAAAAAGCTCTTTAAAAATAAGTCAATACAATGGAATCCCTTTTGCCTTTTGCCAGCGCTTGTATTACACTTACACCCAAATGACCCTCCTACCTATAATACTGCAGCATTTACATACACATCAAATGGGTGCTTTTCACTTACATAATACATTTAATCCAGGGATTACAGAGCACATTATATATTAAACATTACACCACCTCGTGAGGCAGGTTAGCATTAATGAAATTGTGGTGGGTAAACTGAGGCACAGGCCAGCTTTATTACTTGCCTGTGGTCCAGAGGCAATCAGCGGAAAAGTCATTAAGATGCTGTTCAAGCAGCAGACACACATATGCACCTACTTGTACGGCTAAAATAGACTGATCCACGTGCTCTAAAGCAACTTTAGCTGCTCATCTGGAGTCACTCAGGTCTTGATTTTCTGAGGGCAGGAGAACAAAAGGCAAATAGGAAAAGTCAAAAAGGACAGAAAGCAAATGTTTGCTGTAAGAAATATATTTTTTTTTGTATGCCAAACTGTTTACACAAAACAAGAGGCATCGAAGACTGAAGGACACTTCAGATGCTGGTCTCCAATAATTTGATTTTCTGCGTAAAGATTTTTCTAGACCTGCAACAGGGGTTTTGTTAGGTTTTTGTTCAATAATGTTGGTTTATATTTAGCTTTCGTATAGCAGAGAAAAAAAAAATCTTTGGTTAAGGTCTTTGAGCCAAGCATCTAGGATGAAATTTTCAAAAGCACTCAACAGTGGCTTTTGAAAATAGAATTAGGCTAGTTGCTGAGACAAGCTTTGAAAGCCACCCCCTACCTCCTTTAGCATTTTAACTGAGACCTGATTTCCCCGGCGATGGTACTGTTCCCTGTTTTAGTCTCCCCATCTCATGGCCTTCACCAGTATTGCTGAGACAAGTTGAATTTAACGCCAGGAAAGCAGGCAGGAGACAGGCCAGGAGGGAGCCTGTGGTCATGACCTCCCCAGCAGGTCTGCTGCCCCAGAGTGCTGTAGCTGGACACAGGGATGCTCCCTGGGTGGCTCCCACTTTCCAGCCAGCCTTTGTTCTCTTTGTGGGAGCCCTGGCTAATAGAGGTGTACACCCTTCGCCTGATGGGTAGGTGAGGCTATAATTACCTCGGTAATAAGGTCTGATTCTTCCCTGCTCTGCACCTCCTTGGCTGGCCAGGAATACTTGTCTAAAGTGGGTGCAAAATGCTACCAGATCAGAAAGATGACATTTTACATCAATGGAAATGACCAGGTGTAAGGAACAAAGGCCTACATAACAATGCTCTCAACTCTGTTGTCCTTTAATTAAGTAGTTCCTCCAGCAATGACACTAATGAGGCCTTGTTTCCTCAGGGTTGGATTCTCTAGTATCTAAATGGGATGTGAGCTTTTCCTGGGGAGAGAGGTATTTATAATTTCTTCCTCCCAGGTAGTGTCCAATTTGGGTGGATGTCATGCTGCAGCCTCTCTTGGTAAGGACACCAGTGGGACATTTCTCCTCTTGGCAGCTGATTTTCCTGAAACCGAAAGAAATTTTTGAGAGCTCTGCTCTCCTATTACATTTGGCTGAGTTTGGTCAAAGGCTCCAACTTGGCAGGGGATAGGAAGACAAATTCATCAAATGAGACCGAGCAAAGGCACAAGCCTATTTCTTCTAAAAAGAGAAAATTAAATATTATTTTTTATTTAAAAGCAAGTTTTCTAGTGGTGTGGTAAACTCACAGGGTATTTTTTTGCTTCCTTGAGTGGCATGCCTGGCTGCAGCTCCTGCAAGCAGTATCAACAAAAGGAGTATGTACAAATACAGGCAGGCAGGACATGCAGCTCAGGCAAGAAGCAGTGTTACTTAGCTGGCTACAGAAGAGAGCTGGAAAGTTCATTAAATCCACAGAAGCAGCGATCATGTTCACTGGGGACAGTGCTGACCAGACAGGGTCATGGGTCTTAACAGAGAAAGCAACTGAACAAAGAAGCAGCAGTAGAAGGTTTTCTTTGGGTTTGGTCCAGGAGAGCAGTCACAACATGGCAGCCAGCGGGATGCATGCACCATAACGCTGGCAATGCTGGCTTGGCAGCCTGCTCCACACCTCTCTGGCCACAGGACAGCAGGGACAGCCCCTTTCCTGTACACAGTTTAATGGCTCAGAACCACTTAAGGCCTCGAAAATGTGTAAAAATTCCACTTTCCAACACTGCTTTCCAGCTAATGCCTTCAGTTTGCATGCTCCCATCACTGAACAGGCACCAGCCTTGTGAGAAACATGACATTGCCTGGCAGAGTCCATGCTCTTCATCGGTTATGCCACCACCACCACCTGGTATCTCTTCTTGTGATAAAGCCAAAATACTGAGGGAACACCCAGGTTCTGCCATAACTGCAGGATAAATCTGCAGCAGTTCCCCAAAACACCACAGGGTGTGGAGAGATACCAGCTCTGGGTGACATAACTCCTCACATTTAACCTACCCCACAGAATAAGCAACATTTGTAGGTTATCTAGAGTTTTTTACGAAACTATTGTTGCCTAGGGAAAAGCAATTCCCAACTTCACCCTGGGATGCCTCTCCAATTGCAGACACCATTTTATTTATACTTGTGCACAACAGTCTCCCAAGCAGGTTTTCCAGCCAGGAGAGGTAATCATGTTAGTGGGAGACAAAGAGCTGCACAGAGCGAGGGCTGGGACCTCCCCCTCTCTGTGTCTGTCCCTGTTGAACTTGTCTGGTGTGAGATGGAGACAGAAGCAACAGATCCCAACAGTACCAACCTGTTACACCATACCTTCAGGAAAAGTCCAAGGAACTACCAGTGGACCTTCCTGAGCAACGGATCAATACAGAGCTTCATATCAGCTGTGCCATTATTCATGCCAAAGGCAGTTGTTTGGATGAAGGGATGAAGAGTGCACAAGTTCACCAGTTCTCAGTGTATAAGCTCTTCCTACCCCCCTCACCCCTCCTGTAGATGCCTTCATTATTTATGTGTGACAAATAAAAGACAGCAGTGGAAGATGCTAAAGTGTTTCTCAATGTGCACCTCTGTTTGCCAACACACCCAGGCCAGGCTGTGGGCACAGTGAGGAGCTGCTTAACATGCACAAAAAACCCACTGCCAGGCAGTAGTTGATGAAATATTCACCTGCTACATGCTTCTTTCCCCACGTGACTCCAGAAGTGACAAATTATCCCAAGGAAGTGCGAGGGAGCTTTGTTGACTTGGATGGATGTGCTGTGCAGCATCCTGTGATACGTCACCGCAGCTCGCTCGCCATTTCTGCCGTCATCCCTGCACAGGGACCCACCGAATGCAAACTGCATTCAGATGTATTGAATAAGAAAAGATCAAAGACTGACTATTATAAAGCAAAGGGAGCCTAACACGTACCCTGCCTTTGACTGTTTCTTTTTTTACCATCTTAAAATTCTCCTGAAGCTTCTCCTTCCATAAGAGGATTATTTACAACCAACAACTGCAACTACACAGAGAAAGTATACTTAGAGATAAATACTTCTTTTCCTATAAAAAGTAGCAGTTATTTTTATCTGTTTCAAAACAAAATCTTCCCATGGTTTCATATAAAAACCAAAAAAATGCCAAAACACATGCTGTCCCCTCCAAACAAACAAACAAAAAAAGCCTGAACCCACATCCTCCTTGAGTTTATCATAAGCTGTCAAGTTGCTAGGAACAGAACTGAGTCATTGCCACAGCTAACAACTTTACTGGGGATCCACATGTAGCTCTTTCCCCCCCTACAAAAGTCCTACCAGATTTTGAAACGTGAGTGGTGCAGTTCAAAACAAAAAAAGAAAGGGACACGGATTTTTTTTTTTTTATTTAGGATGTGTGCAAAAGTGGTTCATTTATGACTATGTTAAAAAAAAAAAAAGAGTGGATATAAATATTTATGATTGGAAATTTCATTATTTAAAATTATTCTATAAATTTGCTAGTAACTCGAAGATGAATGCCTGCTGTACAGTTTGCAAATTAAGTACCATTATTTTTCTCTTCTGCACTTGAATATTACTCACAGCTAAAGTCATTTAAAGGGGTTAACATCAGCCTTAATTAAATATTAAAGTGTGCCTGTACCTGCTGCTATTGTTGCCCTTAGAATAAGATATAACCTATTTTTGACAAGTTTTCATCTTTCTCTGTGGAAGACGCTACATGAAACCAAATCAGTGGCAAAGAGGAGGGTAATGAATAATCTATTTCATATTCCAGCAGTACCCAGAGCTCTGAGTGGAAAAATATTCAGTCAGATGATAGTATGAGGCTGCTGAGGTACCACATGACGCAGCTAATGTTTAAATAATAATAATAATAATAAAAAAAAGCGATAAACAAATCATTAGCCCTTAACAGTTGTTTAATGCAATTTGTTAATGAACGTAATGGTGGGGACTAATAATGAAAGAAAATAAAAACGTCTAAACAGGCGCCAAGTTGCCAGTGATGCTCAATTATTTCCTTGTCAAGTTTTTATGATTTAATGAGCTCCTCTGGGACTGACGGCTGTCAGTCAGTCGTGACTTTTTGACACCATTACAACTTCAAATACAGCAGCAGGCAGGCTGTTTTCCTCGGATTTGAAATACTGAAATGATCTGACAGGTTTAAAGAAAAGATGTGCAAAAAAAAGGAGAGAGAGAGCGAGAGAGAGAAAGAGAGAGAGACACAGTTGCTTTTCCTTTCTTTTTCTTTTCTTTTTTTTTTTTTTTTTTTTCTATGGGGCAGACAATCTCTGGATGCTGTTTGGTAATGAAAACCCAATCACAGAGGTCATTATCTGATGAGGTTTTCTTGGAACTGGCAGGGTTTTTTTTTCTTTATTTCTTTACTTAATGATAACCCTCGATGGGTTTGCCCCGCATGGGATGGTCAGAGCCGCACAATTTTGTTCACCATTAATTTCAGCCTTTGAAGCTCAGAGCTCTGAAGCAGCAGCAAAGAAAACCCCCCACCAAGCTGGCTCCAAAATAAGACAATCCAGCCTGCCTTAAACAGAATAGCAAATGGCCTCCCATCCCAGAGATGGGAACTGACGTCAGTCAAGCTACATTTTCTGATATTTCCCCAAAACGTATAGCATTTAAAACCCTTTAAAACTTAAGAGTCTTTAATTAAATTGCTTTTGATTTTGTATCAGTGCAGAATTAGTTTATTTATTCTGTGAGCCCAGCTGTTTAGCAGGGATGGATTTTGCACACAGCACCACGCGTGAGTTTTTTAATTTGTCTTTTCTCCACAAAGGCCGGCAACATTAGAAACACTTTGCTCTTTGAGGTTTACATTTGTAAGCACTTGGATTCATTCACACAGACGTGCTGTAAATGTGACCCAACTAGTCCAGGGGAAGCCTGGGCTTGGGGATGTCACCCTACCTGTAGGTGGTTGGGGCTGTGCTCTCAGCTGAAGTCACTCAATCCCCACCAAAATGTGAATTTGATTTGGTGAATCTCACCCGCACACTTCCCAGGCCAGATGAACAGGGATGAGAGAGGAGTAATAATGTGTTTTGAAGAGGGCAATGTCCACCTGAGCACTATTTTACATGTGGGGAGTACACGAGGATGCAAAGCAGGCACAGAAGAGTTATTAACAGGTTAGCATGAGAAACATAGCGATGGCGGGCTCATCAAAAGTGAAGATGAAGGCTTTGCGTGGCAGTCTCTCTCTCTCCCTCATTCCTATCTGAGTGGATGTATCTGATGTGACACTATGCCCTAGATTTATACTGGGATAAGGAAAACTGGCTTCCTTTCAGCTTTTTGCTGATTCCAGCAGGTGGCTAGATAGAGGGCAAAACCTAGTCATAGGTCACTGTTAAGATCAGTAGTCATGAATCAATTCCCATGATAGTTAAATTATTGAGGCAATGCGGAGAATGTCTAGGCAACAGACAGAGCTTAAGATTTCCTTCTTGACAGTTTTCTGCTTTACAAAATATGCATCTCCTAATTTGCCGAGCTGAGGATAAATATCTGCTAATGCTGCCAGGCTTCATCCTAATTTGTCTGAACTCAGCTCTGTGCCATCACTCAAAGCCAACGGCCAGAGCTCTGATTACACAAGCCAAAGTGCTCAGTTTCGTGCTTGTCTCACCTGAAGGCTGGAAGCTGAACACCCAAATCTTTCTGTGTCTGAGAGCCACAGTGGTAAATGCCACACACCTGGCGAGGATGAGAGGAGAGGATGCCCCAGGAGGTGGCCGGGGCGGTCCCCTGACCTTGTGACAGTGCAGGGCCATCAAGGTGAGGAGCTGAACGTGACTGTGCTGCACAGAGCAACACCTCCTGAAACCTGGGTCTGGACAAGCCAGGAACTTTGGTTCCAGCACCATCCTATGGTTAGTGACATGAGCTGGTAGAGAAACCCAGCACACAAACCACTTCTAAACTTTGTTGGGAGCTGCATGTAAAACTCAGACAGCAGAGCTGACCCTATATCTTGCATTTGTTTCAACGAGTAGCATTTTTCTGTGGATCCTTTTATTCCACATTTATCACCCTCTTACTATGTCTTAGCTGTGGCATCAGTACCACATCCTTTTAACTGAGTTATTTGTTTCCATGTAGAGAAAACAATAACATGTTCAGGGCCAAAATCAGCCTCCAGGGACAGCACAGCAAACTGGCAGAGCCCACAGGGATGCCAAAACCCCAAAAGTACTAAGGCACACGTGAAAATTCAGTGGTCAGCTCCTGCTTAATGTAGGGGAATTTAAAAGTCACCAGATTTTTGTTTTTTGAACATCTTTTGGAAACATTTTATGGCTTAAGTTCAAGGACTTAATATACCTCTCCATTTGCAGTATTTGTAAGGGATTGCAAAGGAATTTAAAAATTAATATAAAAATATGAACTTTATCACAACCCCAGTGATGGAGCTTTGTTGGAGTTGCAAGTTTAAATATAAGCCAAATGACCTCAACCTGTCTAAAGGAGAAGCAGAGCCAATAGGAGAAGAGAAACAGCTCATTTACACACAGGTAGATGAAACTATGATATATTGTATCAGCTAAAAGCATATATAAATTAATATTTTTACAGTTTCTGTTTAAAAATGGGAATATCACATCAGAATTTAATACACTCAAAATATTCCAACATGCAGTCTCAGCATAGTCAGGCCAGTATTAAAAATCTAGATTGTTTAATGCACTATAATCACTCATTTGTTGCTGAATTATACTTAGGATCTCTTTTCAATCAGCAACACATAGATAAGTATCTTTATATATCTTCATTAAGGGCCTAGTGTATAATGCTTATCAGTACATATATCAACACTGGAAGATTTAAAAGAGATTCAATAGATGGACTGTAGCCACAACTACATTTCAGGTAAGCAATGTGTTTTCATGATCTTGATGAAAGTGGAATTGCTTTGAATTAGCAGAAAAGAAAGCCCAACTTTAAACAAAACATTGTTAAATTAAGTTTTGGATTTACATCATATATTAAACACCATCCTAAGGTTGCTCTCTTTTTAAAACTAGCTACTGTTCTTAACCAGGTTACATCTACTACGATAATGCAAGACTGGGAGTTAGTCACAGGAGACAGGTTCACTTTCTACATCATTTGGTCTCTGCTTTACTTATATTTTAAATCACAGAAGGTCAGATACTGCTTGATATTCATACACCCTGCACAGCACAAGAAAAGTGCAAAGACCCCTCATGAAACTCTGGCAACTTACAGGCTAATTGTCTGTGGGTGAATTTGACACACATTAAGTCTTTTTATACCAGAACAAGCCCTCACTCCAACAAATATTAAAATCCTGAAAACACTCAGATAAGGACAAAAATGTAAGAAAAAAATAGTCCCACATGCCATCAACTATGCCATCAATAATACAAAATATTTTACACCACTTGCACCTGAGTTGAAGAGTGGGAAAGAGAGGGAGACTCTGTCAGTGCAAGAGAATGATTCATGTGACCACTTTGTCTTAATTACTCAGAACAAGCAGTTTGTTGCTGTTTAGTGAAGAACAAAGATATCAGCGTCCCCTGACAGAAAAATAAATAGCCATCATGGTGGTGAAGATGATGATGACTGCCAGCACAACGATCAAAATCCGGTTTTGGATGATCCTGGAAAAAAGCAGAAGAGACAAAAAAACTGTAGTGAATAAAACAAAACAAATCGAAATAGCAGAATATATATAAAAATTATAAAATGAGGTGCACAAAACGACTGGAGAAAAGAAAATGCCCATAAATTCAGTATTCTCTCCACCATTCTGTGTATTTTGATTATTTTTTTACTTCTCCCAATTTCCAATGCTTCCAACCATATCTTTATGTAGCTATTAAATCCAACTTTTGTATTCAAGAAAGAAGTAGACTTTTCTGAATTATGGATACATTTATATACATATTAGAATAAATTAAATAAATTATGTTCCAATTTATTAACCTTCTAAGAGCAAATGAAAAAAATAGTGTTCAGTCAGTGCAATCCAAGCAGGGTGGTCTGTAAATATCATTGTATTTTTTAAAACCATTCTGAAATCTTCACAGTGGTTTTAATCTGAAAAGAAACAATTTATTAATTTTCAAGGGATTTTACTATTAAGGAACAAGATTTCAAGGAAACACATGTCAATGAGATACTCACTTGTACTAAAATACCAAGGGAAAAGTACAAAAGATAGTTTTGAAGAAAAGGATGATATAAAGAAGCAAGTGTCAAACTGTGAAGCTTATGTTGTAAAAGCATCTCTTGTCTCTGTAGCATACCTTTACTTATGGTAATAGGCAATGCTACATTTCTATGCAGTATGAAAAAAATGGAGATTAGTGAAAATAAAAAGATGCCAGAAGTAGAAAGTCCTAATATCTTTCAATCATTTATTGGGAGAAATTCCTGCTTCTAAAATCATCACTTCCGATTTTTCCTAAAATTAATAGGTCAATTAAAATTGCTAAATCAAGAAACAGTAGAATTTGAGGCATTTATGGGAAGATTTTGGATTGTAAGAATTCACTGTTTGTTACTCCATTTTCACAGAGAAGGAAGACTATTTTCTCAGGCTCTTCACAAATAGGGACTTTTGTAAAACATATTTGTATATGGACCTTGTCATCAGAATTTGAGAGGTATAGCAAAAAAATCCCAACAACAACAACCAAATGCAATACAAGCACCCCAAGTTACAGATTTTTTTCTCATGCTTCTGCAAAACAAAAAAAAAAAAACAAAACAAAAAAAGTAAAGTCTTCAAGAACCAAATAATGGTAAGAAGAGGTAAAACTGTGTTTTGTGAAACATCAAACCAAGTACAACTTGAAGACAGGGAGTGTAATGTGTTAAAATGAGCACATTTCACGCAGTGAAAGAGAGAAGAAACTCCAGAGAGCAGAGGGGAGTTTTTCTGGGTAAATGTTTTTCATTTGGATGCGGGTGGATATACATATAAATTATACTGGAAAGTGTAAAGAAAAATGCAGTTTTAACCAACTCCAGCTCTCTCCTCGCTTACCCCCCACCTAAAGGAAAAGCAGTAAATGGATGGATGAAAACTGTCACATCAGACAGACACCCTCCCCTGTGACACTCTAAAAGGACTAGCTCTCTATCCTCCTGACAGGTTACAAAATGATCACATTTGCTGACACGTCTTCCGCAAAACTGCTTTAGTGTTTGTGTCCACTTTCCTAGCAGGAGATGAATGGGCTGCTTTGTCCTCATTTATCACTTAAAGCTGAACTAAGATCTGTCTCGTTTATTTTTCCCTTCCTCACTAGAAAGGCTCAACCACAGCATTAATTCTTCCGCGATGACAGCTAATTCAAACTTAACAGGCAATATTTACTCTGCCAAAAGGATGAGGAGGAGGGAGGGATGTTTCTCACTCTTTTTTTCCCCTAAAAAAAAAAAGTGTAGCAGGCTAACAAAATAAAGCTAATTAAAGGCTTTTGGTTCTTGTTGGTTTGCACTTCAATTTAACACCTGAACTTACAAGCTTCTCTTTTGTGGCGGGGTGTGACATTCTCTGCCAAACACCTGATAACAAACGATTTGCCCAGGCAAATGCATGAAAACCAGAATATATATTTACTCACTCGCCCTCATCACTCCTGAAAGGACACTCAGCAAAATTGAAACTCAGCAGTGAAATAGATTAAAAGCATGAAAACTCTTAAAACATTCAGCCTTAAGTAATACACAGTGCAGCTGGCTTGACAACCATTTTATTTGTGGGATGTGGGCCCCAAGGCATCCATAATGCTAATTTACAAAGGATTAACTGTGAGTGAAACTCGCTTAATCTAACACATAGTTAGGCAAAGGCATACATAACATACTGAGTGTTTAAATCAACTCCTCCTATCTCTGGCCCACCGAAAAAAATCATTGCATCGTCTGAGAAGCAAAACTAAAGAAAAATAAAAAAGAAGCATCAAGTCCCTCAAATGCCTTATTTTTAATACCCTGTCAGTACACACCTGATTGCAAGATTATTTAATCAGTGTCCATGTCTCTAAAATCCTTTTCAAGAAAACACTGAACGAGGCAAGCCACCACCTGTATCTGCTAATTGAAGGTTCACTTACGGTGTGAATCTAGGAAATATATATCAAAGTTCAATTTCTAGGAATCTGAATTAGTCTGCACAGTGCAGCAAAAGAATATCATATTAAAAGGAACAAATTAATCATGAAATAGGATTGATGTTATCAACAGATTCCTACACTGAAGCATTATATACGTTTAATATTCAAGCCCACAGTTAAAGATTAATTTTATATCTTTAAAAAAAGAATAACACTGAGATTTACTGTTTTCCTTTCAAGTGAGCAAGTAAAATTAAACTAACTGCATACTGCCCAAAGGATGGGGCTGGGAGGAGAATGACAGAGCTGTTTGGCAGCAGCAGGACAGTCCTGAGGAGGACTCAGTGGTGCCTGTTGAAATCTGAGTCTGGGAGCTGCTGCTAAGACACAGAACACAAGTTCTGGGTGTCAGCTCATTTCAGATCTCAAAGTCAACAGGCAAGGACGACCCTTCAGAGTAAAGAAAAAAACGAAGAGGAAAGGGGGTTTTGAGTGATCCAAGACAGTCAAGCCAGCTCACAGTTGTAGAACAATGGTTGGCATTGGCAGGACCCATCTGTAGGGAAGCCTATAGTACTGTCACAGCCAGACACTGCCAGTGGGTATTGCTCTAGGCAAAGCATCAAGGAATTTTAGTGGGGGAGGGAGTGATAATACCAAAGGAGAAGAAAATGGGGCCTAACACTCACTACAAAAAAATCCCAAAGGCTAACATGCTCACAAGAAGCAGATGATAGTCTTTTATCTCTATTACACCTTAAATTCAACAAAATCTGGTGAATGAGGAAGCCCAGATTTTTCTTTGAAAATGCAAAGCATGTTTACAGGGTAAATAATTTAGGAAAGAATATATACTTGAAAGAAGACACCCATTGAAACATCCATGGCTAAAATGCCTGAAGGCAAAAACTTGTGCATTTGCATGCTGCATTTTATTAAGTTAGCACACTGTAGCTTTAAAAGAATGCATGGCCAAATTAAGAGGAATGTGTGACTGAAACATCAAGGATTCCTCAAGTTTACATTATGAATCACAGTGCTGTTGATATGATATGAATTAACCATTTAGCTGATGCAGCTTAGGCACTGAATTCACACCAAGTTCTGCTGGAGCCCTGCGCGGGAGCTCGTTAACAGCCAATGTCTACTGTTCCTTTCATACCCGAGCCTCTAGGAGCACAAGGGCTCATTCTACTTTGAGTTAGAAGAGACGAAAAATCTGTGCTTTTAAACCAAGCTCCATCTAGTTTATTATGGACAGCAGCCCGAAATATTTGGTGCAAAACCACACAGAAGCCGCAACTAAAGCAGACGCAAGGGTGATGTTAACTGACGCACTGGAAGAGCACTCCGGACTAACAGCACTGAAAGCACATCCCTCTCCTCTTGAGTCTCCTTCTACTCCACCTTTCCAGATGTCTGACCCTTTATCCTGGCTTCTGGTCACAGTAATCTCCAACCACTGCAGTGCTGGACGGTGTCTCCAGCCAGTGCCAAATTGAGGACACCATCCGCTTTTGAGGATCACCTCCCTGCTGCACAGGGCAAGCACCGCTCTGCAGAACAGGTCCCACATGCATTACTGAACACTGATGTTCCTGGAAATTCTGTTCCCCTCACTGCTGCCCCGGCAGGAATGGTGCTGCCTTTCCACATTTCAAACCCCCAAAGGATTCCCGCCCGTCCGTGGCTTCACACACACACACTCACACAATGGCTCTAACTCTGTTTGTGCCATGTTTAGCTCTGCTCCCTATAAACACAAAGCAGTTCCCCAAGAAGCTTTTGCAAACCTTACATTAAGGATGCCAACCGTGTTTAAACCTTTTTATAAAACTGCATTCATTAGCAGGGGAGTGCACGACATCTATATGGGTTCAGCCTGATGTCTTGCACATGTCTTAGTGCCTGATTGACCAGCATTGAATAATGATGCCTTGCCATTAAGCACTGATGGTACAATAACAATTGTCATGAAAATTAGCAATCACGGTAACATGTTAACAAAATGCAGGATATAAACGAACCAGTGCAGACTCCGGGTGCATAAAGAGTGTGTCCTTAACTTAAGGACTACAAATAAAATACTGCAAAAATTTCCTACAGAAGCTCAACTCTGACACTGATACAAATAAAAAAAAAAAAACAAACCAAACAAATGGCTTGGGGGATCAGTTAGAACACATTCATTACAACACAGGGCTTTATTCTTAAAGGAGGCATCTTGAAAAATAGTGTCCTCAAGAACACAGACTGATTGATGACAGAGCACTGTCCAACAGTGTTTCACTGTAATATGTATTTCTGATTTAACTAGAAGTGATTCCTATCAGTTTACTGGACAGTAAAGCTTGTTCTCTGTACACAAAATCACATCATAAATGGTCACTTTGAACATTTGGCTGTTGCATTTTTTGTGCCCTTTTATTTCTGATTGGCAGTTTTTGCTAACATGAAAGAATATAGGAGCATGCAAATCAGTGGCAAGTGATTTTTAAGTGTCCAATATTCATGTGCAAATCAGCAGATTCAAA